ATAGCACGGCTGTTTTTCCTGGAGCACATTTCCATATCTTGGATTTATTCTGGGCAAGATTTGAAGTCCTTTTCCCCAAGGAGGAAAGGCTTCATCAGCCTCAGCCAAATAAGCACGTGGGTGGAAGCCAACTCCATTTAACTTCCTTGTCCCTTCCTCTCCAGACGTGAGCGTGTGCACTGCTTGGCACTATACCAGGCTTTTGCTTGATTAAAATATACATATATCTATATTTGTGGAAGCTGGCTCGCCCCTAGGAGGGGAGCTGGCAGCAAGGGCAGGCGTGTGCAGCCCTGCTGCTGGTTTCTGACGGACTGGGTGGTGTTGGTGCCGCTGCAGATCACCATCTGCAGGAACGACGAGTGCGTGCTGGAGGACAATTCCCAGAGGACTAAGTGGAAGGTGATCAGTCCCACGGGGAACGAGGCCATGGTGCCCTCTGTGTGCTTCCTGATCCCCCCGCCCAACAAGGAGGCCATCGAGATGGCCAACAGGTAACTTGCTGGTCTCTGCTGCGGGGGAGTCCCAGAGATGCAGTGGCAGGGAGATGGGGAGGGGGTTGGTGGCATGGGGGGGGACAGATCTGGGGTGGGAATGGGAGAGGAGCTGCGGTGGAGGAATAGGAGTGGGTGGCAGAACTGATTCGGGGCGAGGGAAGGAATCCCCATGGTTATCCAGCTGTAAACTCCATCGCAGCAACTGCTATAGTAGCTTGCAAAAGAGAAAACGATGATTCGGGAGGAGGGATCCCTCCAGGGATCTCTGGCACTGAACTGCAGGAGCATCGCTGGCTGCGGGCTGCCAGGCTGGGATCGCTGCCTTGGTGGACTGCTGGCTGGCAGCGATGGCTGGTGAATTAAGAGGGTCAGGGCTGAGCGTGCTGGGGAGATCCAGGGCTGATGGATCTGCTCCTTCCCCTTGCAGGGTAGAACAGTTGTACCAGAAAGTGATGGCTCTCTGGCACCAGCTCCACATGAACACAAAGAGCCTCATCTCCTGGAACTACCTGCGGAAGGACATAGCCCTGGTGCAAAGCTTCAGCATGGAAAAGGTATGGTAGGAACTTCTCTGCCTGGCTCCGGGGCTGCGTTGCTCACTGTCCAGGGGTTCTTCATGTGGCTGAGGAGGAAAAGAAGTGTTAAAGGGAACACCGGAGACTGCAAGGTTGGGGAAGTCAAGGGTCTTTGCACCTTGAACAGTGGGAAAACCTGGGCTTGGAGGTTCTGTGCAAAATGATTGCAGTTTTTCCAAAGAAAAAGAGCATCAGCAGCTTGCTGCTGAACTGTAATAAGCATAAGAGATTGTGGACTTAGCGCTTCATTAGGGAGTGAACAAGGCTGGAGGGAGGCATGAGGCTGATACGGAGGAGCTTGCCTTTTCTCCTCTAAAGAGAAAATACTCACTTGGCAAACGACGGTGATTAAGCTGGGGAGGGTGGCTTCAGGTGATGTGTAGGAAGTTGTTCCCGGTGGTTAGATGTGCTTTTTTTCCACTTGCAGCTCAGATCCTTAGCGCAAGGGGAGTGCCAGCAAGCCATGAAGAGCCTCCAGGCGCACTACGAGGACTTCCTGCAGGACAGCCGGGACTCGGAGCTCTTCTCGGTGTCGGACCGGCTGCGCCTGGAGGAGGAAGTGGAGTCTTCCAAGGAACACATCCGGCAGCTGCTGGAATCCATGGAGAACGGTGAGCTTCAAAGGGCTGATGGATTAACCAGGAGCTGTGGGGACTCATAAACAAAGGATTTATGGGGTGGCTTCATTTTCTTTTTTTTTCTGAGCTAGCTAGTTGATGATGTGAGCAGCTGCTCTCCTTATTTCTCCATCCATTCAAGTGTTTGGCCTTTGTCCAGCGATGTTCCTGCAGAGAGGGCTTGGCTTTGCAGCTTCGGCTTTACTGCTGAGTCTTCTTACCCTAATATTGTTGGAGAGGGGTTTAGTCATTAGTCAGGACACATTCTGAGCAAGGAGTTCTTCCTGCATTTAATCTTTAAGAAAATATATGTGGCGGTCACAGTCCCGCTGTTCAGAGCAGCGGATGGCTCCCGGTGTGACACAGCAGGACTGAGTCCCACCAAGACTGGGGACTCCGGCTTCATCATGCGAGGTGCCCTGTGGCTGGACTCATTTTCAGCTGTGTTGGAATGAGATGATTTGATTAACTTGTTTTCCGTCTAAGCAGAGACCCCAGTGTCTCTGTGTCCGCGTGATGCTGCACGTGGCTCGGGAACTCCCGTCAGGTCCCATTTGGGGCAGATACCGGTGGGGGTTGTTTGAGCTGCTGTTTTGGTTTGCCTGTGACTTGCAGAAGACAAGGATGAGACCGTTGCCAGGACGTATCTCTCAGAGCTGAAGAATATCCGTCTGCGCCTGGAGGAGTGTGAGCAGAGGCTAGTGAGCCGAATCCAGTCCCCAAGCAGCGCCCGAGCAGATGGTGATACTATCCAGGAAAACACCATCCGCATTGCAGAGCAGGAGGTCAGTCCTGCTGCTGTGAGATGTGGAGGGGAGAGAGGTGGTGGCCGCTGGTCTTTAGCATGCACCAAAAACAGCTTTTAATTTCTCCAGGGTGAACGTGTGGGAGGTGGGTGCGTGACTGTGTGGGGTTTGAGAGGATCTTGCTGCACAGAAAGTAGCAGGAAACCTCTCCAGGTGGGCTCCCTGCTTCATTGCATATCCATCTCCTTTGCCAAGGGCAATCCTGCTTTTTCTCTGCCTGCTTGGGCTTTCCTTTCACCTTCTTTCCCTTCCTCCCGTAGCGCATGCAGGAGGATCTGCAGCGGCTGCAATCGGACCTGCGGTTCGTTTCTGAGAGATGCTACAGCTTCCTCGACAAGGCGCCCACGGGGTCCAGCACACCCCACTTGCGTTCTGAACTTGACTTGGTGGTGAACAAGATGGACCAGACATACGGGCTGTCTTCCATCTACCTGGACAAGTGAGTTGGGATGTGCCTCTGTTCCTGAATACCTTTTTGTATCTGCCTGATTCTGCTCAAGACCTTTCTTCTGGCCCTCTAACACCCCTTGCACTGAGCTCCATCCCTCTGCAGCACAAGGTGCAAACAGCCTCGCGATCAAGAGGATCTCTGCGAAATTTTGGATGTCATTGTGCTCTGTTTGATTTGCCAGGTTGAAGACAGTTGATGTTATTATTCGTAAGACCCAAGGAGCAGAGTCTCTGGTCAAAGGGTATGAGGTTAAGCTGAGCCAAGAGGAGGCAGTCCCCGCCGACCTGGCAGCTATTCAGTCTCACAGAGCAGCGTTACAGGTTGGTGCTGTTCACTTCCCAAGGTGGGCAGGCAGAAACCAGCCAATGCTTTGGCGTTTGTCAAGCAGGGTCCTTCCCTTTCTCTGCTGAATTTGCACTGTATGCCATTTTTCTTGCCTCAGTATAGCTGCCGGGATGATTTTGTGCTGCTTATGTGATCCCATATTGCTTTGTAAAGGTAAAGGAGCTGCTATGGCTTGTGCTCTCTCTTGTAGGGCACATGCTGACACATGTGAGCATCTTGGAGCTACATGTTCTGTTGCTGTAGGACAGGGGCTGAACCAATCTGATTTGCTCCAAGCTGGGAACATGATTCCCTCTGTTTTGCACCTCCAGTAATCAGCCAGTTCTTTCCAGGTTAAGGAGAGAGGGAGGATAAACCCCTTCTCAGGCTTGTCAGCTCTGGGCAGGAGGGCATCTCTGACTTAATGTGCCTTTTGCTTTCCATGATGTTGAACTGGTGCTGTCTCTTGCTGGTTTTGCAGCAATGGCTTGGAGAAGTGAAGGACAAGAGCTCCGTCTTCACCACGTTGGAGGAGGAGATGGAAAAGGCAAAGGCGGTGGGAGAGCAGCTGTACCGGCTGAGACAGGAGCGCAGCATCGACCTCGAGCGCTATCAGGAGAAGGGAAGCCAGCTGTGGGATCGCTGGCAGCGAGTCTGCGCCCAGATTGAGACCCGGTGAGAAACCTCCTGCCTCCTTTCGCAGATTTACTTTCATGCTTCAGCTGAGAGCTTGGGTCAGGCTTGTTAGCAGCCGTATTTTTCCAGTTGGGATTCCCACTGTGGCCAGGATATCCCTATAGCCTATGGTGGCATTTCGCCCTCCTCTTATGTGCCTTGGTTCTTCTCTCAGCCACGCGGAGCTGGAGAGCATCCAGGAGGTGCTGAGTGATTACCGGCAGTGCCACAGTGCCCTAATCCAGTGGATCGAGGAGATCACGGTCCAGCAGGAGCTGATGAAGCCTGGGCAGGCAGAGGACAGCCGGGTGCTGTCGGAGCAGCTGAGCCAGCAAACGGTAAGACAGGACCTTGTGATATCTCGATGGCGTGGTTGTTGCAGTGACCGTGCCCTTTCTTTTCTTCTAGAATCATAGAATCATTAAGGTTGGAAAAGACCTCTAAGATCATCAAGTCCAACCGTCAACCCAACACTACCATTTTACTAAAATCTTTTTATCTGTGAGCTTGAAAATATGAAACACAGTGGGGAAGAGGCTGTTTGGTGTCTGGGAAGCAGAGAAATTCTGCTTAGGTTGAGGTGGAGATGGGCCTTGCATAAAAAATTGAAGAGGATAAAGACTTTACACAAAAGGGGAGGGATGGGGACTGAAATTCAGCTCACCACCCACAGCAGCTGTCCTGACAACCATTTTTGCTTTGCATTTTGTTGAAGGCTTTGGCTGCAGAAATTGAGAAAAATCAAGCCAAACTGGACCAGTGTCAGAAATTCTCCCAGCAATACTCGGCTGCCGTCAAGGTACGGGTCCCCTCCTGCACCTAAATAAGACGAGCTGGGCAGAAATGGCCCTGGCATAGTTTGCATCTCACATGCTCCATGTCTCTCCGCCCCTGGTTGCGTTTGCAGGACTACGAGTTGCAGCTCATGACGTACAGGGCGTTTGTTGAATCGCAGCAGAAGTCTCCCATGAAACGCCGGCGCATGCTCTCGTCCTCGGACGCCATCACGCAGGAGGTAGGAGCGCGGCCGCCCGCCCGACCTTGCGAGGGAGAAGTTGTGCAGGGGGTTCTTCGATGCCGAGCAAACTGCTGAGCAGCCTCTGTGAAATGACCTCCTTTCTGCTGAACTCTCTTGTATAAATAAAGTTTCCACCCTCGCTGTTTTTTCCAATAGCCAGAGAGGATGGCTTAGTGCTCTAAGCACCAGGTATGAAATACCTAGACTCCTGGGAACCCCTGGGTCAAATCCAGCAGGGTCGGCTCAGCCCTTCAGCCTTGCGAGGTAAATAACCAGAGCACCATGCAGCGTCACTGTGTGTGGATCTTTGGGATGAGACCTTTAGAGACCCGAGGTCCTGTCTGCTCCGTGTGGATATTAAAGATCCCGGTAGCCCTCTTGTAAAAGTTGAGCATCCGCCCCAGTGTCCATGACCGGAGTCTCCCCTTCGCTCCAGTGTTGTGCAGCATGCGGTGTGTGGCCACAACCCTCCCCGTCAGACTTGCTGCATTTCATTGATGCCGTACGGGGTCTGGGAGGTGCCTGGGGGGCTTCCCAAGCGAGAGATGGTGCATCCGTGTCATGTACTGTAAAGTACGTCGCTCCGGATCTGCCGGTCGTGACTGATGCACCCCGTTTCCTCCTCTATCCCTTTGCAGTTCATGGATTTGCGGACTCGCTATACAGCTCTGGTGACGTTAACCACGCAGCACGTGAAGTACATCAGCGATGCTCTCCGGCGGCTGGAGGAGGAGGAGGTAAGGGTGTTGTACGGAACTGAACTCTATTCAGAATGTGCAGGCTCATCTCCTAGCACCCCCAAGGATGCTGCTCCATGTTGAGGTTACATCTCGGGTGCTGCTCCTGAGAGCCTCTCTGTCTTTGGAAATCTGGGACCCCTTTGACGTGGTTATCTTCCTCCCTCCTCTGTTTGCAGAAAGTAGTGGAGGAGGAGAAGCAGGAGCACGTGGACAAGGTGAAGGAACTGCTGGGCTGGGCCCTGGGCTTGAAGCAGAGCGTACAAGGCAGGACGGCTGCTGCTGGGAGCAGAGAGCTGGGCGACATCGAGAAATCCATCTCGGAGCAGCAGGTAAACCAGGGGCAACCGTCAGGCGGTTTGTTTAACTTCTGCTCTTTTTCCACAGCTGAATTAAGCTTCTTTCTTCCCCCCGCCCCGACAGGCCCTGAATGAGGAGCTGGCTGCCAAGAAGGAGCAGGTCTCTGAGGCCATCAAAACTTCACAAATCTTCCTGGCAAAACACAGCCACAAGTGAGTGTGGTCCGAGGGGACAGGCAGGGAGAGCAGTGGGGGAGATGAGATACTTTAGAGCTGGTGCTGGTGGGCTGGGGTCCAGTGCCTGACTCCCATTAAAAACAGCAATGAGCTGCACATGACAGTTGTCTTCTTTCTTATCTGCAACAAAAGCTATGAAATATGCAACCCATTGATGCTGTTGGGACAATATTGGGACAATAATCCCCTTTAGTAGTGATCCAGCCCTGTATATTTGGGGATTTGATCGTTACAATGCAGGTCAGCCTTCGCTGAGCACAATTACCCTTGCTGGATTTAGCTGAGCCGGGCAAGGAGTAGGGCAGTGGGAAGAGGGGACTCGTGGTGGGTTTGGCCTTTTCCTTCACCAGAAGAACATGTTAATTCTGCAGAGCTGGGAGCTGGTTTGTGCAGTTTCCCTGAGAGATTTCCCCTTCCCCTTGCAGGCTTTCCCGTCCGGAGAAGGAACAGATTTCCGCTCAGATCGGTGTCCTCAAGGAGACCTACCAGGCGCTCTGCAGCGATTCCACGGAGCAGCTCCAGCAGCTCCAGAGCCAGCTGGCTCAGGAGACGGAGCACAAGGTACTGGTCCCCGCTCGGTCCCGTGGCTGCACGGACTCAGGGCACTCCTCAGGTTTTGCTTGGTTGCGTGTTTCATGGCCACCAGCCACTCACAGCCCGTTGACTTTCTTACTTGCACGTGGTTGCCCTCCCTTCTCTTCTGTCCATGCGTCACCCGATGCATCCAGGCTGGGGTGGTCCCTGGAGGCCAAGCAGGAGCCAGTTACCTGCTGCCTTCCAGGTCAATGGGAAAGTTGTCCTTTGCAACTGTTTTCATCAGAGCTCTGCCCTGTGCACAAGGGTTGGCTTGTTCACACTTGGTGGGCGAGGATGTAGATGGACCTCTGTTCTGGAAACGGTCCCCTTAGCAAATCTGTGTCCTCTGAGGAATGCCTTCTCGGTGCTTTAACCACAGAGGGCTCCGTCTCACAGGCTGCCTGCGTGCAGGAGACACAAGAAGGTGGGTTTCTGCAGAAGGGCATTTGCCCGTGCGGTCTCGTGTATCTCGGGGTCTGGTGAGAGGTTTGTCTCAGCTGTGGCTGAACGATGTTGCTTTCCCCGGTGGAAGGTGACTGCATCGTCCAGGCCCTCAGCTGACCTGGGAGACCTTCACGACCCATAGCGGGACCCATTCCCTGTTCACATCCACCAGCGCTCCCGTCAGTCCCCATCCTTGTTTCGCTGGGTAGGGAGGGCTGAAAGCGCATCCTTATTGCCTCTGTTACGAGCTGTCTTCGGTCATTCACAGATATACGTGTACGTGTTATATAAGTGTATATACATGTGTCGATGGATATATTTGTGTGTTTGCTTGCTGGCTCCCTGTTCTCTGAAGCAACGGCCCGCTCAGATCTGGACGCGTGACGCAGGTTTTGGCTGTTGGGTGCGTGAGTGAAGCCCTGTTCGAGCCGCTCATGGGAGGAGGGCGACGGGGCTGCTCGTTTGAAATCTGCCTGTCCAGCTTTTACCTAAACGTGTAGTGTTTCTCTCCAAATTGGACTTTATAGCACATTTCAGGTGGCTTAGTGCAGTAAATGCTTTCTCGTGCAAGCCCTTTAGCCCTCGTGCTGGCAGCAGAAAGCTTACGGTGAGCAAACCAACTCATTAGTCGCCGCTAAGCCATCACGGCTTTGATGTTTCTGCTGCTGCTGCCAGGAGAGCAGCTGAGAGCAGCCTGCCTGTGGAAAGGATGCTTTTTCCTTTCCTTTTTCCTCCCTCCCGGGCAGGAAAATAACTTTATAGCAAAAGCCTTCTCCAGGGCTTGCTGGGCTGTTTTCGTACAGCATGACCGCGCTTTGGGGCTCAGGCTAGAACAGTTTTCACTCACGCTCTCGACAAAGCCCAGGAAACGAAACGAGAGACGGCAGTGGGGCTTTGCAGTAGATCCCTGGCCCGTCTATGAGATGATCCCTGCGGCTCTTGTGCGGTGCAGTTGCTTCACTGTAGAGGGAGCATGAGGAACTCTTAACATTTGCTTGCTGGAAACATCCAACTGTCAGAGAGAAGTTATAAAAGACAAAAATGCAAAGCAGAACGCGCTAAATTGAGCATGATGTGTCCCTGTACAGTTTGTGTTTCATGTCAACTGTTTTTAAGATTAACTGACATCCTTGCTTACAAGTTTAACTAACCCTCCGGGATTTAAACAAACAAAACACACAAAGTGAAAGAGGACGACCTGTGTGTGGGGTTCTTTTTGCAAACAAAACAGTCGCATGCTGGACGCTAACACCAAGCTTTACACTGTGTGTGATACGGCTGAACTGCTCCATAAGGCTCTGTCTTTAACTGCTCAAGGCACACCCTGCAACTCGGGTAAGTAAAAGCCTTTTACCCCCCTTCCCTCCCATCTCCTTTTTTATCTTTCTCTTTTTTTCCCCCCTCCTCTTCTCTGTCTTTCCACGGCTTGTTCATCTCCCAACGTGCATGCCTGAGTCTGGCGATGATGGTGCAGAGCTGAGGTTTTTCCAGCCGGTTCACCCTGCCTCCGCAGCAGAAGGCAGCGGGGGGAACTGCAAACCAGCCTGGTGGCGGCTGCATCCTCTGCTGTGCCGTAACCGAGCTGTGCCGCAGCTACAAACGCCCCCAGCCGCCTGTGCTGTCAGACTTACCGATAAAAAAAAAAAATCGGGGGGTCCTGGGGGTGCCAAAGGAATTCATTCCACAATCCAGATTCCTTCTTCCCTATCCCCACAAAAATCTTTTAGTGCTTGGGCCAAGCTTACACCCAACCAGTGGGACTGGGAGAAACCCAAACGTCCAAAGAGCCGTTACTCTTTATCATCTTAATTATTACCCTCCCTGTGGGGGTACCAGCAAGAAGAGAAAAGCCCCTCCAGAAACACCAAAATAGATGGTCTATTCCCAGTCTGTCACTGTTTCCGTGCTGGGACCTCGAACTTCTCGAATTTCTCCCCTTGCCCTGTCTGAAGAGCACAGCTACTTGGAGGTGCTGGAGCGGGGCAGAGCGGGTGCCGGTGGTCGTGCTCGGGGAGCTGCCCTGCATGCAGCGCTCCTGCCCTAATGCATGGCCGGTCTGTGTGGCTGGGGAGCTGCTCCATGGCACAGGGCTCTGTGGTGTTGCCCGGCTGTCCTGGCACTTGAGATCTGCTTGGGGAAGTGCAGGATTGAAGCATGGCAGGAGTCTGGGTGGAAACTGCGCTGGGAGAGGTTCCTAGATACCCTCAAATGGACATCTTTGGGGGTTTTTCTCCTCTGAGTACACAGTGGGATTTGTGTTGTCTTTACTTTTTAAAACAGGAGTTGTTGAACGGCTTTGGTGTGCTTGTTGGTCTCCTTCCCTCTGTTTCTCCATGGAGCATTAGGAACACTTCTGGGTTTTGCTGCTTGCCGCTTTGCTGCATTATGTTGGTGGATGTTGGAAGCATCTCAGTGCTGCCCTGGGTGATGGACTAGATGAGCATTAAAACTTGCTGGCAATGTGCAAGCTAGCAAACGCACCAATTTGCGTGCTGTGATGCCTTTGGAGTTGCATTTCAAACACTCTGGGACTCCTTTCTAGCCTGTTTAGGGTTTTTAAACTTTTTTTTTGGAAACTGAGATCTCCCTGGACCTCATACAGTCTGAGTGCTGGCAGTGCTCGATTTTGATTTAATTCTTTTCCTTCTCTTTCTGTTCTAGGGCAACGAAGCAGTGGCAGGAGTGATCGGTCTTGGCACAGTAGAAATATTCCCTGTCTTTGGTGCCATGCAGAGAGGTCTTATAGATCAGGACACTGGCCTCGTCCTCTTGGAGGCCCAGGTTATCACATCTGACTTAGTTGTTCCAGAGACCAATGAGAAACTCTCCTTGGAGAAAGGTCTGGCAAGAAACATCATCGATCTCAGGACGTTCCAGGTGCTGCAGGAATTGAAGGATGCTCTCGGCCGGGTGGAAGAAGTCAGATGTGAAGGGAGGCAGCTCCTACCTGTCGTTGCTGCGATAGAAGAGGGGAAGATCAGCGAGAGCATTGGGCTAAAGATTCTTGAAGCTGAGCTCGTCACTGGGGGCTTTAAAGTCCATCAGGACAGAATCAGCATGGAGGCAGCGGTGCAAGAAAGGCTCCTTACCCCCCAGCTTCATTCCAGACTTCTGTCTCACCTGGAGGGTGGCAAGGATTTGATTGACCCCAACACTGCTGAGAAAATCAGTCTGCCCGAGCTCATGCAGCGATGCATCGTCCACCAAGAGACTGGACTGAGGCTGCTCCCAGTCAAGCAGCTGGCGGGTGGGATGGTGAGCTTGAAATCAGGCAGAAAAGTCAGCATCTTCCGTGCAGTCCAGGAAGGGCTGATAGACAGGCAGGTAACGGTCAGGTTGCTGGAAGCCCACCTCTTTGCTGGTGGCATTGTGGACCCTAGGACAGGGCACAGGCTGACTGTGGACGAGGCTGTGAGACATAATTTAATTGACCAGGATTTGGCATGCACACTTCTTATCCGGCAGCTTCAGACAGGTGGCATCATCGATACCGTCACGGGAGAGAGACTGACAATTGATGAAGCTGTAAGGAAAGAGTTGGTAGCACCAAGGATTGCACTGGTGATCCTGGAATCCCTATGGTCTTTCATGGGGCTCCTCTGGCCAGAGACGGGGGAGATTGTCCCGGTTGCAGATGCTTTAGAACAAGGAATCCTGTCTACGGAGTTGGTTTACAAGATTCTCAGCAAGAGGCAACTCATTAAGGCTGTCTTTATACCAGAAACCACTGAGGTGTTGTCCTGGAAGAAAGCAGTTGAATATGGCATCTTGGAGAGAGATGTGGCGAAGAAGCTGAAATCCACAGCCATACCTGATGTCATGGCCAGCGTGCAGCTTGCTGGCTCTCCGAGCAGAAGCAGGCATGGCCAGAGCTCTTCTGGAAGGAGTCCCACAGGTCACAAAGAGCAAAGTGACCCTCTGCTAAGGAGTGACGACGAAAGGCTGATGTTCCACTTGATGACCCACAGCTATATCAACATCCATGATGGCCAGAAGCTGCTCTTAGTGGATGGAGAATTGAACAATCTCACTAAAGCCCTCATCCAAACCCAAGAAAATGGATCCTGCGCACATATGTTGGAAGGGAGTGAAGGCTTTGAGGAGACAAAGGCAAATGCAGCTCTTGAAAGTGAGCCTTGCAATGGTTTGGCTTTGCAGCAGCTTGAGTTTCAATTTGCTCCTTCAAAAGAGCAAAGCGAAAAGGTCCTGGCACCCAGAACTGCTCTGGAGAATGGGGAGGTGGTGATGGGACCTGAAAGCCTCCTGTTGGAGGATGCAGAAGATATCCTGCTCGTGAAGGAGCGAAAGCAGATTTATGCTGAACAGGCTGCCACCAAGAGTGAAACTGATGCTGAATTTGGAAGAGAGCAAGTAGCTTCTACAAGCAAGGACAAACATCAGGTAAAATTATCAATGCCAGGACATCCTGGTGACCTTGGTAGTGGATTCAGAGAAACAGAGGAAATGATGATTGAGGCAGGAGAAGAGTCCAAGACTACTGCAGTAGATGGAGTGGAAAGTATCGAAGATCAGAAAAGGGC